TTTGTGAATTAATATTGATATTTAGACACTTTGCAATTCTTACTTCGTAGCTCTGTAAAAATAATTTAATATATTACAGTTGAGCCGAAAGAAAATTTCATTAATAATTTTAAAATATTAGTACAATCTCTAGTTGAGCTACAAATATTATTCGTATGCATCTCGTATCATTTTAAACCTTCATTTGGGTGCAGATGTTGTTTCTTTTAGGGGAAGCCTCGTTCAAAGAGTTTAGAAATTACTGCTTTGGATGCAGAAGAGAAATTTCAATAATGATTTCAAAATATTACTATAATCGTCAGTTGAGCTAAAAATATTATTTGTACAATTGTTTTTCTTAAGAGAAGCGTTTTTCAAAGATTTTAAAAATTGTTGTTTTGGATGCAAGAAAAAAATTTCATTAATGATTTCAAAATATTATTAAAAGCACTAGTTGAGCTAAAAATTTTATTTGTATGTTGCCTATACCATTTTAAATCTACATCTTGAACGTAGGAATTGTTTTTCTTAAGGAAAGTGTCTTCCAAAGATTTTAGGAATTACTGCTTTGGATAAAGAAAAGAAATGTCATTATTAATTTCAAAATATTATTAAAAGCACTGGTTGAGCTAAAAATATTATTTATATGTTTCTTGTACCATTTTAAACCTACATCTTGGATGCAGAAATTATTTTTTCTTAATGAAAGTATCTTTCAAAGATTTTAAAAATTGCTGCTTTGAATACAGAAAAGAAATTCCAATATATTAATCAGTTCAAAATATAAGTAAAAACGTAAATTATCGTGTAAAGTAATTGAACTAAAAATATTATTTAGCTTTAACATTGAAGCTTTATTTCATTCAATTGTCAGCTTATCCATCAGTCCCAAGTAAACAAAATTTTCCCAAGTATTTTAAAAATGGGGAAAAGACAGTTAGGATATCGTGAAAGAAACTGAAATACAAATGGAGAACCTGGAGACGTCAACACAGAATGATATTGTGCGCTGCTTTCACGCATGTTACAGTGTGCTCGCAACAAGATAGAATAGCTACGTCTGCCATTGTGAACATTCTTCCCCGCGTTCGTTAGACAATTGTATTTCGAAGCCGGTCCTATTACGGGTCGTTTAGTTGCATTTGCCTTTTTGACAAAGCGACTCGAATCTCTTATTCGAACCACCTCTCCCTTCTCGTGTGCATCGATGCAACGCAGAATGGAGTACACCTTTATAAGAACCTCTTCGGGATAGTTACGCGGATAATCTTCTCGACATATTGCACCGAAGCCAAAAACGAACTACGGTCCACCGAGCATTCGCTGGAGTTGAATCTTTCGACCCTAACTGCCGAACAAGTCGAGTGTGTAAGCGTAAACTCGGAGTCCACGATACCTAAAACGACGTCTCTATTCGTCTTCTTAGCGCTCCATAATTGAAACGATTTAATTAACTGTATTGCATTGTTTTTTATTGAAACCAAAATGCCTATTTTCACGAAGATAATCGGTACGATACAAAAAAATACAAACTCGTGTTTGTTATTATTGATCTTACTTTAATTTTTTAGGTAACGAAAATATACATATTGTTATTTTTAAAACATGTTCTGATCTGTATTGAACAATTTCATAAAAATTTCTAGGAAAATGCAGTTAACATTACAACTACCAAAGCAGTCAAAACGACCCATTCGCAATTTCTAATAAATCTTGTAAAAAATTTACTCGGCTGAGTTTTTGAAAATTTACTTTATTTCCATTACATTATGCATTTTGTCACGTATCTAACGTTTCAATTTCTTTGATACAAATAAATGCACTATAATTGTCGATAGTTCTAGTGTTAATAGATTAAATGCTGCTTTTTCCGAACTACTAATTTTAGTTCCAACCCATGTATTTCAGAAGATGAAGAATAGACAGTGCTTTCATCGTATATACTGTGATTCTCCATCTTTTGAAATAAACAGAAAAAAGCACTATTTAATCTATTGATTAATTTTTCTAAAATTTCTCTTTTCCCCACCAAGCTGCTTTGTTTCGAAACTTTCGACAATCGACGCGTTGGTCGAAAAGTTCTGCCAGACGAAAGGAACGAGTCAAAGCGAAACCGCGGCGTTCGTCGCCCTTGGAATCCACCGATGCGTGGATGAAAATATTCAGGTAAAAGGAGGCGAAACGAAGAAAAGGAAAGAGAGAGACGGAGAGAAGGAAAAACGCAGAAAGAGCGCGAAGGTCGGAACCAACCCCCGTTCGAGCGTTGAATAGAGATACGCGGAGGAGGTTAAGCGGAACGTGTACCAACGTGGAATAATACTTGTGCAGGCAGATGCGTTGCTTCCTGACTCCCTGACTCCATCTTGAATTATCTCATGGACGTACCCCTCGTGGCGAGCACACCCCTCGTGCGGGAACCCGGTTTGGGGTGCATGATATACGCGTACTCGCTAACCGAGTGCACGAATTACGCGAAGAATCCGTCATAACCGATGTAATATCGCGGAGATTGGATCTCCAGATCGCGCGCTGGATCGCCCCAAGTCCAGTTTCAAGGGCCTTCTCGATGATATCGCCTCGTGCGTTTTTTGGCGAGCCTAGGTACCGTATGAAAATCGATAGGGCGAAACGACCGAGGGCGAGGGGATTCGCAATTAATTTAACCCTTAATTCGCTCAATAAGGACACAACAACGAGTAGAGTTCGACAAATCGCGGTGGGTTTGTCTTACACGATTGTCTGTCGACTTCATTTTTTCAAAAATCAGTTCATGTTTTAAAAAATTATATTTGATTCTTCAAAAAAATTATTTGATATGACTGGTACAATTCGAGTACTTAATCCTCTACAACTCAAATTATATTTGGTTTCTGAAGATCGCCTGAGTTAAGTCTGTTAGATTCTTTCTTGTAGGGTGCTTGATAAGGGATGTCAAACTTACATAATTGAAATCGATTTCGATTGTAATGACTAGACTATTCATTTATTCATACAGACCTAAGAATGTAAAACTTTTTACGAAAGATAGACATTGTTAACATTTCTTACAGAGAGTATTTTTAAATTACAGGATGCACTTGATATGCAAAAATATGAGATACTTAAAATAAGATACGAATTATTATATTTGGGAGTTGAGACAACACTCTACAAAGCTCCCATTTAACTAATTCTATTAATAAAAATATAAATTTGCATAAAGATTCACAAGTCTAGTAATAACACTTGTTTACCATTTGCCATTAGGATTTTCGTTCCTTACGAGTAAAATATCACGTGATATAAAAGATTTGATTTTGGATGCCAAGGGAAATTAACGACGATTTTTCTTAACGGAGGGTGTGAAATTCATCTAAAACCTCGTACATCCACAACGGTAAAAGTATCTAATCTGCTTCGACACCGCCGGCAAGGGGTTAAATGGCCAGTATTAGGTCCCAAAATGCCTTCTCCATGGGTGCAAAGGAGTTAACGATGCCTGTCAAAGTCACGTGCGCGGCACACGAACCCCCGCTTTGGGTCAGCGTAACAAAGACACTTTGAACTCTGAACCAAAGATTTTAAAAAGCACGATAAATTAGAAATCAGAGAAGCGCGCCATTTTCCAGAAATTTAAGAAAATTTAAAAACACACGTGATTGTAAGTCCAATTTTTGGGTCATAATAGCAATGTCAAAATACACCGTGTAAATTCTTAATATTTCATTGTATAATACAATAATGATATCAGGGAAATTTCTGCTCGTTTCTTGTAACTTTCTCATTGTATATAGGGTAGATATATATTTCAGACTGTTCCAAAATATTTACGACTCATCGAGACTTTTCAGATCTATTACCACTATTTTTATCGTGGCTCCATACATGTCTACTCTGACCAAAAGGTGTATTCTGACATAATTGTTAATATAAATTATATTGTTTCTATCCCTCAGGCGCTCTTCGGGTCTTTTTCACCCAAGACGTATTTATTTACGGATTTATATTTTTTTTATTTATACCCAAGACATATTTATTTACGAATGCACAATCAGAAACAAACCCAGAATGAAATTTAATATCAGTATATTTATTTTTCTGGTTTTTTTAATTTATACCCAAGTCGTATTTATTTACGATTGCAATCGTGAACAAAACTAGAACAAAAAATATCAATATGTTTGTTTTCTTGGACAACATATCTTTGTTTACATTTATATTTTTCTTAATGTATATCATTTTTACCCCCAAGACCATCATAGTGTACAGAAACAGAGAACGTCCCGAGGGTTGAGACAGATAAAAAATCGATCGATAGTTCGATCGTTTCGATAATTGTCGTATGTCTCTCGGCTTTACGAACGAACAAAAGCGTAAAAAGTGCACCGACGAACCCATTGATTATCCGTAATCCTCGCGTTACCGTGGCACGAAATTAGGAGGGGTTGACTGGCCGATCGTGCGGCAAGAGGTACACGGATGCAGCGGCGCAAAAGGGGTGGAAGTGGCTTCGTTTTCACCTCTGGGCCGGATGAATAGGAGCGGATAAAGGGATGAGGATGGTGGGGAACATCTGAACGACCCCGTTCGTTCGCCACCTCTCCCTAGTGGCTCGTGGTGACGTTCAACCCCCGTCGAGTCGGGGACGAACCAGCTCCTTTCGAAAGGACCGCCCTTTTTCGAGGGTAGGGAAGTCGCTGGCCAATGAAGCGTCCCGACGGCGTCGGTCTGCCTGTTTGAAAACGGTCAGGAGCCGTGCTTACCATCAAGAAGTCCCGGCCACGATGACTGTCAGTAACGTTCCGTCGCGAAGTTAGCCCTTGTTTCGAGTATCCGGAGGCAGGAAGCGAAGGGACGTCGAGTAGTCCTTCGATTTCGGGGCGCGGAAGTCCTCCTAGTCGGATGCCAGTTTTCAGTCGCGATCCAACCATCCGAGCATACCGTTTCGGCCGCGATCGTACGTTTTTCGTTGTTCCGAGTTGTCGTTTCGCTGTCAAACGCGACACGTTGCCTGCGCAGTGGTGGTGTGTTGTTGAGTGAAGATGCAAAACCAGGAGCCACAAATTGGGCATATGCCTGTGCCACAGCCGAAGATGCCTGCCTCTTCCAGTAAGTTTGTGCTTGATTCGATTTCGACTTATAAAAGAGGATCGCCATTAAGTTACTTTTACCCTTCGTTCCTGAGAATTTTCATCCAGTGCACGCGTGTGTAGAATTAGATTTTGTTGTTTGGTTTAGGTTTTTGCAGGTAACGTTTAATTTTGTTTGACGGTGCTAGTTGTAAACTTAATTTACTCATACTTGCCACGTTCGTTTATCGATTGACTAAAATTTGGCTTGCAATTTTTATCTTTTTTCACTATTTCGAACCCGGTGGTAACGTATGTGCATATATTTTATGGTCATTAATTTCGTGATGTGTAAAATATATACTATTATTATTGTACTGTGCGTAAATCTGCTTCGAAACGAATCAAAAATAGAGCATATATTCCAAGTTCGATCGAGTCGATATAAACTTACGGACGTGTATATTATACGTAGAAAATATAAATAATATTTTCCTTTTCATTTCATATCATCGATTTGTTCGCCATGCTGAAAAGAACTGAAATCCTTCCCTGGCCTTCTATGGTACACCGCGTACACTTTTCAAATATTCTGGCAAACAAAATACATTATAATCCGACGCTGAAGTATGTTGTCGACATGATTCGCGCGTATACCTGCTGTCCTCGATTTTCAATATTTACGATTGGCTTTGGCAAGCAAACAAAATATTATCCCGTATTGTATGAACGTAAACTGTGTAACATAGTGGAACCAAAAATATATTCTAAAAGAAACAGTAGTAGCATCGAAATCGCGTAAAAATCACGTTATTTACAAAAATATTACAATATATTCGTACACGTTGAAAAATGATGGATCTCCTTGCATTCGATAGTTTCTCTATAAATTCTTATTTTGAAAAGCCAATCATTGTAGAATAGAAGCGATTTTTCGATATTGAAAAATCGTTAAAATTTTATTAACGAAACATGGAATTTAACATAAAATGTACATTTTTAACCGAGGAAGTTGAAAACACCGTTGCAGCTTCGAATTGTTCCCTTTTGTTATCAAACATTCTCATGTAAAAATAAGAAAATTTGATTTTAGTTGCTCGAAAAGCACCGTAACCGAATATCTATGTCATCGAAAGCCCTAAATTCTTCGCAGAGATTGAAATTAACGCGACGCTGCTCGCGTTGGACGAAATTCGCGCATTTTCACTTAAAAGTCCCCGTCTCTTCGTCGTGCAAAGAAATTCACTTTCTCCGTGGCAATCTGACTGGAAACATTCAAATTTCCAAATTACTGTATTTATTTTGTAAAAAAGGGAACCGAACAATTTTTTGTCGTTTTTTATCTTCAGCGGAGTTTTTAAGGTTTCGGGATTAGCCGTTTCCCTCTCCGATAGATTAACGTAATTCCTTTCGTTTTCTCTTCGCCGGTAGCCATGTTCATTACGTGGGCGACGATAAATCGGTACCTGCGTTTACAATACTCGTTAGCTCTGAAACCACAGTCGTAAAAGCTCCTGTCTACTGCCATATAAAACTGGCGTCACAATCGAAGGAGGTAGTAATTGCCCTCTACGCGAATCTTCGTACCTGTAGGAAAGGTGTCACCTTTTTTTTAATTTTCGCCTCGTCGTGGTTAGGGTTGGTGGGTGATGGAACGTTAACGATCCGCGGGAGTCTAGTGCTCGTAAAAAACCAGTATTTCTACGGCTGTCCATGGTTGAATTCTTAATCCACGGCAAAAATATCTCTATATCCTTCGAAACTTATTAAATTTTCAATAATCAAACTACTGACTATAGAAACAATATAAATTTCATTCAAAATTTCTTTCCAAAAACGTAATGACAACTCCTCGTATATAGGAGCCTCCGAGTATTATAATTTTCTAATAAACCAAACCCGAGAAATGAGACACAATATAGGACATAAATATAGAATTTTGTTATAGATTTCTTTTTTCATTTTGTAGAGTCGAATCATTTTTAAGTTAAGTTGTAAGACCAAGAGACCATTCATTTTTTAGAGTAGCCTAGGATGTTTCTATAATAGAAATCTGTTATTCTAAAATACTCTTTATTTCATGTTACTTCTCGTACAACAAATTAGTCTTTTTCCATTATTGTTTCAAGTTTTAAATATAGTATTCATTCTCGAATCGTTAATGACGCAAAGAGGCGAGCAGCGTTGCTAATCATCGCGTCGCAGGAAGGGTGCTTCTCATCGCGCGGCTCATCTCGTGTGAAACAAATAGCATATGCGGCATTTAAACGGGGTGGACAGTGGTGTATTTAAATGATTCGTCCCTGGTTGCATTCATCCATGAGAAACTAACGGCAGATGGTAAAAATATAACACGATAACTAGGAATCTCCGTGGCGCCCGACAGGTTGCGGCGTCATTTGTTCAATTATTGCGCCGATTCGTGACGCTACCAACCAATAAAACAATGTTTCAAAATTCACCTGGCTGCTCACACCCATCACTGTGCTCAGTAAACCGAGTTTTAATTCATAGTTGATGTTTATTCGAGCGAGTCGTTCTGATTATCTTCGCTCCCTAGTTTAATTCGAAAAATATAGCAATTTTCAAAACAATTATTAAAGGCAAACTGATATTTTTATAAATAGAATTAATGAAATTGGGAGCTTTATAGGGGGTTATCTCAACCCCTAAATATATTAATTCGTATCTTTAAGGATTTTTTATATTTTTGGATATTAAGTGCATTCTGCAGTCTTTTGAGAACTAAAATTTCCCATAAATGCATAAACATCAACAGTCTACTAATATCAAACAAAGTAGTTTAGCTATATATTTTAGCTCACAAAACATAAAGTTTCTATAAAATCATTAAACATACATTTTTATTCGATAATTATAAAGACATCCAACCCCTGGTAGTATAACAGAGAAAAAGGTATTTTGGGGGTTGAGAATAAGAAGATATGTTAATTATTTCTGAAATATTTTAATTCAATTTGCAATATGAGACGAAAGTTTTTTGACGTAAAGTCGCAGGATAATTTTCTGTCTAATCGATCGAGATAAATCGTAAAGGCCCTGTGAATATTCTAAAGAAACGCCACGCACAGTAGCCTCCGGTTGTTTATCATTAATTTCACTCGAGGCTGGAGCACGATTATTAGAAGCGTCGAAATAACAAAGCTAAACGGAGGGAATGACGATAGGAAGGTAAAAAAGCAGATAGAGGAGAATGGCGCGCATCTTTCGCCCGGAGGGTGGATCGCAACCCTTGCAATCGCGACGATGCAAGCAGATGACGGATGAATGCGAGTATGCACTGCGTTCGCGTGTACTTTGATGGGTCTGGTTCCTCACACATGCCGCGAAATTCCCATGCTCCACTAACGATGCACGTAACACCTGATGGATGATGACAATATGAACGATGATATCACCTAAGCGATCTGAGATACTCCACTGTTCGTCACCTGCGCTTTGGTATCGCTGGAAATATTTGAACCGGGTCATATTGCGGATTTAGCATTGCCTTTGGCTATTTAGTGCACGATAACATCAAACGTGTAACATTTTACAAACTATATTCGAATTATTTTTTATCCAAGTAGTTTTCATTCGTAAAATTCTCCATTCTACAAAATGCAAGAAACCATCTGAGCATTACCATAGACAAAGGCACTTTAATCCTGGGATTCCGGAGGTTTTTTCGCGCGGTAATTTTAAGGGAAGATTATCCCAACTCCTCCCTAGAAACACTGTTTACTTGAAACAAAGCCTCCTTTGTAAATTTCTTTTTAATTACTCTTCCAGTAAAATCGTAGATGAGAATTTTTTGAATATTTCTATATTTCGTTATGACACGTTTACAATATGTCTTGAACGGATATTGATTGTCAAAATTATTTTTTTTATCGCTATCAGTGAATATCCCGTTCTTTAATCTGTTGGCAGAATACATCGTTTGACTTTCGAAATTATTTTTCGAAAAGTTTTCAAGTTCTAGGTACTCGAACGTAAAAAAGACGAAGGAATCGTTCAATTAAATATGTTTAAACGACGGCTGCACGCAAGAAAAGTTGTCCCCAGCCATTAGGGTGAAGTTTCGAAACTTGAACTCCGTTCAACTTTTCGTTCGACGTCGCGGAATACATTTTCACCCTTTCGCGGTTGGCGATCGCGACGAACTTTTTTTTCTCTCTCGATTCCACCGTCACGAAACCTGCATCATCGGGACTACACGACCAATGGACGCTCGAAACAAAGAAAAGTTCCGAATAAAGTGACGCTTCGACCGGAGTGAATCACATCCGGTCGAATCGGCCACGAAATTAACCCCTCCGTCGACGATCGCGTAATTTTAGGGTAGTAAACTTCAACTGCTCATAACTTCAATGTTTCGATCGAAACATGAAAAACACTGTGGTTCGGAAGTCCACGGAGACTACGCTCACGCGGACGATACTTAAAAAAATATTTCACAATAACTTCCACCATCGAAAATCTCGATTAATTTTCTGTTTTTTAGTTGCATTAAAATTTATTTGAATCACGTGACTTTTTATGTTAACATTTCTCACAAGTCTATGAAAACTGGGCAGAAAATGTTTAACTCTTATTAGAGTAATATAAGAAAGTTTGTTTTCGGGTTTCTCCATTTTTTATTTTAAAGAATTCGAGCAGGAGGATTAATTACCGTTTTAAGTAACTAAAGCACGGCTCCAGGGATTTCCTAACATAATTTTCTAGGAAATTTTGGGGATATCTTTTTATTGGTCGCAAATTGTGTTTCCAGTTTATAATATTTTTATTTCGTGTTACGTTTTTGCAATTCACAAAATAATTATTTTTCATTCTCTCAAAATTCCGTTTATTTTATCATTTCTATTACTTCTATTAAAAATGGAAGTTGAATAAAATATGTGTATGACAAAACAGTCAAAATGACCCAATCGTAATTTCTACTAAAATTTGTACAAAAATTTACTCGAATGTGAATGAATAAACACTCATTTCCATTGCATTACACATTTCCTGACGTATCTATGGTTTCAATTTCTCTGGTATAAATAAATACATTATAATTGTCGGTAGTTCTAGTGTTAATAATTATTTTAAAAAATCCCTTGTTTTGTGAATGAAAGAGGGGTGGATAACCCCCAGATACTGGAAGTAACTATTTCGTGAATCGCAAAACGACCGAGAACAACTTGAAAAGAATGACTTGAGAGGTATAATAGGGATAGGGGAAAAGTGAGGAAAATTCAGAGAAAGCCAGTCGATTTTGCGGCCCCCTCGACGCGTTCCAGCTTCGGGCACGCGATTTGCGTGTGGCTAATCGCAAGCAAGCGTGCGCTTCTGCGCGTTCGCCTTTCATTTTTTTTCTTCGTTCCGGGGAGGGGAGGGCGAGGATCGAGTTCGATCACTGTAAAAATTCCATGAATGATTGACGAGCCAACGGGACGGAAAACGACAGAAGGAAGATGACCGCCGCTCGGTAAAACACAGACCTCGATTCCAGGACGATGAAAAATTCAATCGGAATGACTCGCGAGCCATGTCGACCGAATGCAAGTTTCATGCATCCGTCGGATATCGGCTCGCAGAAGGCGTTATCGCGTGATTCTCATGTGAGAACACGCGTTCCTCCATGTACGCCTCCCCCACCCTGCGTTCGCTGGTTGTTTCGCGGAGTTTCTATGAAATTATACTATTGGACGCGTGGGCACGCGTAACAACGCATTTGCATTCGCAAAACGCTAGCTTTTGCACTCTCCTTTTTCTTCTGTCTTTTGGATCTATTTCGAACAACCATTTTTCTTAGTAAAACACGTCTAAGATGTTTGCAATATCATTTCGTTTTTTATTTTATGGGCTCAAACTGCTTCAAACCGGAACAAACGTCACCAACAAACGTGTCACTAACAGAATTTTTAAATGTGGAATATTTTACAGCATATTCATTCGAATCGATGACTGTTTGCATCGTGTTTGACACTGACTGCAAAATTTGTGCAATTTTTCGAGACTAATCCTCTGTCGTAAATTTTGTTTTAGATGGTTTCGAACAACCATTTTTCTTAGTAAAACGCGTTTAAGATGTTTGCAATATCATTTCGTTTTTTATTTTATGGGTTCAAACTGCTTCAAACCGGAACGAACGTCACCAATAAACGTGTCACTCTTAACATTTTTAAATGTGCAATATTTTGTAGCATATTCATTCGAATCGATGACTGTTTACATCGTGTTTGATACTGACTGCAAAAGTTTGTGCAATTTTTCGAGACTAATCCTCTGTCGTTTGGTTTTAGATGGTTCCAAAGGTGTTCAATTGGATTTAAATCTGCTCTTTAGGAGGTTTATTCCATTATAGAAATTTTCTTCTGTATTAATTTTACATAAAAGCATGTTTTACGATGTTTGAATATTCATTATTAAAATATTTATTTCCTACGACGACGTTTCCAAAGTGATGAATTTTGCTTCCGTCGAGTTAACTTAAATTATTTCGACGAAATTAACGCGTTTTCAAGTGTTTCGTGAACGGACTTTGGCAGGAGATTTGACGAACCAGCCTGCACGTGAAAAACATATCATTCGCGATGCAAGTTTCCCTTCATCGTGGGAGAAAAGGGTGTCCTCTGCGTTTGCAAGGGCGCACCCCTGTCATTGCAACCTGTGTGCTGTAGCGGTCAGTAGGCATGCACTGTATTTCGCGTGGTGCTTACGTTATCATTAATATTTTAAAACGCAACTGTTCCCGGTTTTATACTTTCTCCTTGCAAACGTCAAATTAAAATACTCGGAAAATGATGATTCGCTTGGACCAGAAAGCGATTGATAAGCGAAGGCTGCTCGGCGAAATCAACAGGTTGTCGCTGTTTGGTCCGATTTGATTCGTTAATTCGGTTGGTAAATTTAATTGCGACGAAATTAATCAAATTTACCGGTCCATTTATTCGTTAGTAAAGAATTTTATCAGAGATTTGAAGCTTTCACACGGTATATTATACGACTGTCTTTCAAACTTTTATTAACCATCATACATAGATTGACATAGTTAGATGAGCTGTAACACGAATAGTTTTTACTATTGTACTTGTGAAGAAGTGGTTCGAATATGAGCTATCAAAAACCACACTGACACACACAGTATATTATACGAATTTTGTTCAAACCTCAAATTTTTATTAACCAAATATAATCTTAGATAAATTAACATGAAAGACTTCATCTTGTATTGATTTATGTAGACTAAACAACGCTTCAAACTTTTTCCATGCACCATCCATCTTTAAAACGTTACAAAACTGTTCGGTGCAAACAAGTTCAAACAATGAACAATACTCATAGCTAGTCTTAAAATTGCAATGAGTTAAATGACTCATTTTATATTACTATTATTAAGTAAAATTATTTCAAACATTTTTAACATTCCACCCACATTTCCAAAAACATTTAAATTAATTACTCATTACATTACTTTTAAAAGTGACTAGAACGAAGCTATCTAAACGTTAAAAATGCTCGAAAAGACTTTATCTTGCAACGTTTCAAACTTTTTCCATTTACCATCGAATCTTTCAATCGCCACGAAGCAGATCAACGCAAACAATTTCAAACAACGTCGCGAACCGATTCGTGGACCCACCGAAATCTCGCACCCTTATCTCCCCTAGCAAACATTCCCAGAAACAGTTCCTCGTTGCCCATCGATAAACTTCACGGATTTCTCTTCATCCTCAGTATATATCCGCGACTGAATGGAAACATGGCGTGGTGGTTCGAAAACGTTTAACCTTCTCCGATAATAAGATCCACGTTAAGTAAGATAAAGGAGCCGAGGGAAACCGATCGAGGGAGATCAGGCGATACGGAGGCGAAGTGTCGTGTTTCGGGCTGCTCACTTAAGGGCTGCTGAATGCAGCAGCCACATCCGGTCCATTCAGCCCCCATTCACGAGCCCCGTCGGGCTCAATGGCGTAGGCGGAGCCCGTGACAACGAGTCGGTACCCCCATTATAAACGCACCACACCCTTGCTTGTCCCGCTCGTAGGGCCAGCACGAACAGGTATAGAAGCGCGTACGTCCTGGAGGTCCTTCTAACTTGGCGACAAATCGATCCCATTCAGAAGGAGACGTCATTTACGGGATCCGTGTTTTCGCTGGTAAACGGGTTCCGGATCCAAAATACCGGCATTCTTCGGATTAGGCGCGGCTTTCTCCTCGGTTTTGCCATCGAGAACGGACAACAATGCGCCCGTTTTGTCGCGGATCGATTCGTGGGCTCTTTCTCGGCAGACTCTTTGTCGAATTTAGGGAAATCGAAGCGCACCGGGACGCTTAGGATCATTTTTAGGAACTCTCGGAGGTTTGACGTTATTCAAAACGTGATGTTTGCGCTACGAACTTTCGGGAGACTTTATTAGTAGTCGATAACCCTTTCACTGTTGGGAGACTAGGCATCAAAGCGAAACATATAATACCGTATAGGATAAATTAGACAATAAGAATTTCGAATAGTATTTTAACCCCTTGCCTTGCGATTTAATTTCCAACTGTGCGTGCCAAAAGCGACACCAAGGTTTGGCCCGGTAGACTTACTGCAATAGTTATACGATACGTTTGTTAAATACAATTGTGCAGACTATAAATAGTGACTCTGTTTATTGTTCGAGGTATTCGGGAAGTTCTGATAGCTGATACTGGCACAGGTTTCTTGGGGTGAGCCGTGTCCTTTGGGAAAAATGTTCCGATGTTGGCTTCTCCAAGGATCAAATAACACTCTGCTATCGGTGCATTGTGTGATTTAGGTCTATTTAAGTTTCCTGAACTCGTGTCACGGATCAGTGGTCATCGATCAAAGCTGTTCTAAATAATTAAAAAGCTAGAAGAACCAGTTGGGGTTGGAAAGTTAATCTGAATCACTACAGGCTTTGCACCCCAAATTTAACTTTTTGCAAATCAAATTCACGAAAATTTAATTTCGTTGTATCCTCCACCAAACTTCACATAATAATCCACAAATTTGGTGCATCTGAAATTTTTGAGGTGGCATTTCAGATAAGAATCTTTCGAATCTATTTAATGTGTCTTTTGAACTAACTCTAAGGGTTTGTTTCTGTTGTTTCAGGCCGCATTCTGTACGATATCCCATGCAAGGTCTGTCGGGACCATTCTTCGGGGAAGCATTACGGTATATTTGCGTGTGACGGTTGCGCCGGTTTCTTCAAAAGATCGATACGTAGAAATCGTCAGTATGTCTGCAAAGCGAAGTCCGAAGGGGGCTGCATGGTGGATAAGACACATCGGAACCAATGTCGAGCGTGTCGCTTGGCCAAGTGCATTCAAGCTGGCATGAACAGAGATGGTAGGTCGAGAAAACGTTAGTATTTACGCAATATGAACCCTTAAGTAGATTATTGAGGCCGCTGCGGCCCTCTGCAAGTTTAAACTAATAATTATTTAATATATATAAACGTAATTCGAAAATTTATGTAATCTCCTGTTAGTTCATTATTTTTTAAATGCTTTAAAATAAACTTGATTTCCATTTACCAATTTGGTAAAAATCAACATTGAATAAACTGATTCAATTGAGATTGAGAGTCCACTTAAGGGTTAAAAGTTAAAAGTTCCAGCTTTGCACTTTTTCATTTTTATTTCTGTACAATTACATTTTGCTATTTTCTCTAGAGTTTCTCCATTTTATATCAAGACCAATAAAGACAGTAAAAAAAAAATAAAAATCGTTTAGAATATTGCACGACAAGCCACTCTGAAGCCATTTGAATTAAAATAATTTCTAATAAAATATTCTGTTTAACTCATGAATTAAATGATTGTTACAAGATGAAGATTTATCCTGGTACAATATCGTGAAAAATAGACTTTCCGTGAAAATGTGCAGCACAGAATAAATACAACACGTTCCGCGATGCGTGGTAAACGGTGTATGAACGCGAATTTTCGTATTTTTCCAGCTGTGCAACACGAACGTGGCCCACGAAACTCGACTCTACGTAGGCAGATGGCCTTATACTTTAAAGAACCCGAAATGATGGCCAACATGGTGCCCCCACCAGCGGGAGCTTTAGATCTGGCTTTGCCTAAACCACCGACCGAGCCTCGTGTTTCCGTCGCAGCGCCAGCCCCTCATCATCCTCTTCCACACCCTATTTATTGCAACAGTATGGCACTGCCCAAGGTAAGTTCACTCTGGTAATCTTGCCTCCACAAATCGTCGATCATTTACAACATTATGCAACATTAGTCATCCCCACAAAACGAAATACGAGGCAAAGAAATATTTTCTTAAACGAATTAGTTGTTGGTAAACAGCAAAATACCTAGGACTGTAACCTAAATTTTGAACTAACACAGAAGTAATATATGTGTTTAAAAATTAATCAAAATCGTATCAAAAGAAAAATTATACACTTTAACAACACTTCTTTACATTTTCTTTGAAATGATCAAAAACAGGAAGAAAACTAAAATTAGGGTTACATAAAATATGGAAAAGAACAATTAAAGACCTAACAATCGAAGCTGTTACAAAATCTACAAACAACACTCTAAGCTAAGCTTAGACTTCAAACTCTCAATTTATAGAACAATCAGTAAGCTTATGTAGACCTATTGGATTGTGGGGAATGGCAGCCAAAAGCTTTAATAATCCTTCGAATAGTAGTAAATGCTCCGTAATACGTTAGAAATAATAAAATTCTCAAATATCTTAAAATTAAAAGTCACAGAAGAGTTTATTACTCGACGATGGAATAATTACAAATTGAAACTAGAAAATCCTTTCAACGAATATGATATTAACCTATATAGAAAGCATTCCAAGTTTCTCATAACACATCAATAACACATCTTCTCTGATTTACTCTGCTAATTTACTAAACGTCAATAATACAAAAGTTTGACGAAGATAACAAAGAAAATCTTCCATCCACAAGTTCTCAAACTCAACCCACGTGCTTCAAACGCCAACAGGTTCTAACCAAGATCACTATACGTTTCTTCTACTGGAATAACATATCTTCAATTTACTCTACTAACCAAACTACGCAATAATACAAAAGTTTAACGAAGATAACAAAGAAAATCTTTCATCCGCGAGTCCTCAAACTCAACCCAGTTGCATCAAACGTCAACAAAAGCCTCCAAGATCACCGTAATCGTAAACCACTCTTCCGACTTGCAGATTCCAGTGAGCGTGGCGGGTTTGTCGACCGTGCCGTTGATCCCAGCGATAACAGCAGAGTCCATCTGCGAGCAGGCTGCGAGATTGCTCTTCTTGAACGTCCATTGGGCCAGAGACCTGGCGGCGGGAACGAGCCTGACCCTGGACGACCAGCTGACTCTGTTGGAGTCTTCCTGGCGGGAGTTGTTCTTGCTCGCGGCGGCGCAGATTCTGCCAACGTTAGACCCGACGGCTCTGCTCACGCCAGGTCCTCAGGGTCTCGGATTGGCCGTCGAGGTGAATCGTTTCAGGGAAACGCTGGCTGGTTTCCACACGATGAACCTCGACCAGCACGAGTTCGCATGCATCAGGGCGATCGTGCTGTTCAAGGCGGGTCTGGATTGCGAGCCGCTTCCCAGCAGCAGAAGCAGCAACGGTTCCGCGTCGCCCAGCACAGGAAGCAGACTGAGGGACCCATCGACCGTCGCTAGATTGAGAGACGGAGCTCAATTGGCCCTGGGACAGAGGCTGAGCGGCGCGTCGTTCGGTGCTTTGAGGTTTAGCAAGCTGATGCTGTTGCTGTCGACTCTGCGCTCGGTGTCCACCCACGCGATCGAGGAACTGTTCTTCAGGAGGACCATAGGCATCATACCTATCGAGAGGATCATCTGTGACATGTACAAAGCGGCCTGAACGGGAAAACGAGACTCCAGAAGAGTCGGGATGTTCAGATACGTAGACGTGGATGCACGAGGTTTGGAGAGGTTTGGTGGAGGTTGACGAAGCGCGTCGAGGTGCTTCGAATTTAATTAGACTTTTGCTGTTGATCGTTGAGATGGATGGTGAAGGGATATGTAAATGTTTAAGATAGAAAATTTTAGAAGTAATGGCGTTGGACAGTCATAGAGAAAGAGTAGGTTTTAAAGTACGTGCTTTAACCCCTTGAATGAAAATAACGAGTCTTACGAAATATTTGAAGACTTTAGATATCATGTTTGAGAACGATTTAACGAATTTAATTACAACCGAGATATGTTGTATTTATGACAAATATAGCTCGAAAATAAATCGTGAGGCGAGAGATTAAGGTTACAACTATCGGGGGCTTGTCACAATTAACAATTGAAGTTTCTAAAGATTTTTGATCTTTTCGAAACACGAAAGGATCGGAGTATAGTTTGAGTTTTCTAAGCAAATTTGAAGGATACTTTACCTTTTTGTCTATCGAGTCTTTCGCGAGCATTAGGAAATTGTACCGCAGGTTACGATTGATCGAAAAGCAATATTTAATGCAAACAAAATTGTCTAATCGCGGAAGTGATAGCGTTGTAATTTTTATTCACGTGGAGATTAGGGTAGTTCGAAGAGAGTATACGTAAAAATCAGCTGTGATGCAAACATATCACAAATGATGATACACAAAGAGAAACAGAGAATTTACGTTGATTATTTTTGCATTACTATATTATACTTGAACAAAGAGTCGTACGACGACGTACGACGATCGCAATAATCCAGCAGCTGCACTTAGTGGATTTAATGAAATACTTTAATAGTTTTACGTTTTATCCGACCGAAGTAATCGGCGAATAAAGATATTACGCTGGATACAAGAGAGATTAAAAGGCATAGATTAATTTAAGGGATTAGTAGCATAGGATAACCGTAAACGTTTACGAAAAGTACTTTGTTTCGTCGCTTACGTGGCAATATAAAGCTATATGAAATATTAAATTTCGTTATCGATGCGTCGGAATTGGAGTTTTAGGGGTAGTTAGAGATTCTAATTAGACTTTACGGCGAGTGGAAAGATTCGTGAGCAACGTCGAGCGAAATAAATCGCGTGTATAAATGTATTATAAAGTACGGTGCATCTGTAGGAGTCGACGATAGAGAGCAATGATTAGTTTAAATATACGAAGATGATATTATCGCGCCCATGGCGCCCATCTAATTGTAAATAGAGCTTTAAAAGTATGTAAATAAAATGTTATAAACCGCAAACGCCTCCCAGTTGCTTAAATCTGTAATCCTACTTGTCGATTAAAATACTTTGTACATGTACGATTGATCGATATTTAACAATCGGATATTAAATGCAAAGATTAATAAAATGAACTCAAATGACGATGAAGAAATATTTTTTGTAAACTCTAATCTTTTATTTTCGGTTTACAAATTTCAAAAAATATGAGGTCGTCCCATAAGTTCGTGTCGAGTTTTGTAGTAAACGGATAAACATTATTTTGTTAATCTTTCTATATTATGGTTGGTCAGCTTAGTCGACACTAAAAGTCTAAATTTAACAAAATAAGTAAAACGTAAGCAATATATTCCGTATCGAACGTTCAATGAAAATTAGAATTTCAATAACTAAATAAAATTACTTTTGAAATTGAATAAAATCTAACTGAAAATTATTTAATAAATTGTTTTTAAAATACACATAGAAAACGGTATAAATTATAATAGTTTCTATATTAATAAAAAAGAAAATGAGGTGCTCTTTGAGATGTTTGTTTCAAGTTGATACTGTAGTTAGTTCCGTAGAAAACAATTATTTACGAAAAAGTATACACATTTAGATTCGTTTTCAATCAAATAAACAATTTATAATCCAGTGTTGTCGCACACGAGTAGTATAATCAATAGAAATTGGTAAAACTTTGGGTGCATAGTGTCAAAATAAATTTAAAAATAAACATAGAAGATAGCATAAATAATAATAGTTGATGTAGTCATAGGATAGAGGATGAAAAGCCCTTTAAAATGAGCGTTCGAACAAGTCGATAGCTTAATTAGTTCCAGAGATATGACAATTTTTGTTTCAAGTCAAGCGTCAAAGTAAATGTCAAAATAAACATAGAAGATAGCTGAAATTATTGTAATTGTTACGTTCATGGGATAGATGATGAAAAGCCCTTTAAAATGAGCGTTCGAACAAGTCGATAGCTTTATTAGTTCCGGAGATATAGCGATTTTAGTTTCAAGTCGATGCGATGGCTAGTTCCGGAGATATAAGGCTTCGAAGCGTTTGTTTACGTTCATTGAGATCAATGAACGCGCGCGCGTGAAAATAGTAAACAGTGCGTAGTAAATTCTTGGAAATACTACGCCAAACTAGGTCACGACAGTCACGTCTCACGTGCGACAAAGAGGTCCAGCGCGACACGCCAGACGGAGACAGAGATAGTCAAATTAAGAAAAATACCCTTTTACATAAATTACGATATCTCGAAAACGGGAAGTCGCATCGAGAGAATTCAAAAACCATTTCAAAGGAGAAGCCTTGTCGCTTCTAACAGTGACCCAATAATTAATAAAACCCTGGTAGTTTTCGAACTGTACGCGTTTAAAGTTTTAGTATTGTTAATACGCGTTAATAAGCCCTTCTGAAGCGCCGAACGAGATCGTAGTCGAATAAAAAAAATTACCTTTTACATAAATTACGATATCTCGAAAACGGAAAGCCGGATCGACAAAATTCAAAAACCACTTCAAAGAGGAAGCCTTGCCGCTTCTAACGATGGCTCAATAATGAATAATACACTAGTAGTTCCAGAACTGCATGCACGTAAAATTAGTGAACTTTTAGTTACACTGTAGTACAAACGTTGATAAACTGTTCATTAAAACACCACATCAAGTAGTCAATTATTTGGATAATTTAGTTTGTAACAATTCTATTAAATGTATTTTTCCTGCTAGAGTGCCAAAATTTCATCAAAATTAGCGATTGGCGCTTTGCTTTGTTCCGTCTTAAGTTGCGAATTTTATTTTAATATTTAATTGGTAGAACGTTGTATAATGTTGAAGAAATCACTGAAATTCAATTCATCGTGAGAAAAATTAAGGTTTTGTATTAAAGAAGAAACGAGACCGGAACGAAAGTTGATACTCGTTCACGAAAAAGATTTCGAAACGTCTTTATCCGTGCCGCCACGAAGGAAAAAACCTTCTCGGGGCAACAGGAACATCTAAATTTTGCCTGCACTTTCGACGGCACAATGAAACGCATTTCACGGGAATTTTACGGTGATTTGAGTGGTAATCGCAGTACAATGGCTGCCCGCGTCGGAGTTCCTCGGGTCTGTCAGTATATTTAGAGGCATTTCCTACCGTGGTAGACCGAGGTGTAATCACTAAGGCGGGGTAAATAATCATCTTGGCTGACCGGTGAGAAAGCATTGGAAACATCCAATGAAAGTCGGCCAACGAAGTCCGCATCTAGCTCTTTGTGAACGAATGTCACGCACCCCCTGAAAAATACGTTCTGTTATTTTTAACGATGATCCTGGATCAATGATCCTTTCGGGGGACTGATTGTTCGACGATACAATCAAGCGTACACAGACCGCCATTGTGCTAAGATATTTATTTATTGAGACTTTGCCCGATGTAATTGAAGTTATTTAAAGGATCTTGCAAAATAACGAATCAGTTTTAGAAGCATGTTAAATTTTCATTTATCAGATTATCAAATAAACGCGAATTATTGCAAATGAGTACTTTTTGCGTTGATCGACGTTAAAATTATTATGTTTGGGCTCGAGGCCAACGATACGTTTCGAGAGTGTCGCACTTGAGAATTCCGAAAATATTCTCACGAATGGTTTCTTTACGAACACGGAATGAAAAAGCGATGCGGGACGAAAACCGTGTCGGTGCAAGCACCAACAGCGTTCGAGTGACTCTTCTGATTCGCATGACTGGGCTCTGAAATATTGGCACTTAACAGTCGCAGCTTCCCTTTGCTCCTAAATCTGTTTACATCGATAGACCTCGATAGGTGCCAGTTTAACACCTCGAGCACTCTAGATGTTCAATGGAGTAACGTTCGTCGAATTATTCTCGAAAATCTTCGACGCTTCGAAACTGCTCCAAGTAACTATGCTTCGTTAAAAATACATATTCACTTTCTGCACTTTGTTTTTTGATCTTCAAACGGGTTACAATTCATGCATTATTATTTGTGAAAATTCGACGACTTTCGTGCTTCCAGTTTGTTCCAAAAAAATATTGAAAACTAATAAAATACGTAAGTCAGCAAAATGAAGGTTTAAAATAGCCCAATAAAATGTCATGAGTAGACTGCGGATGTTTATGCATTTATGGGAAATTTTAATCCTCAAAAAACTACAGAATGCATTTAATATGCAAAAATATGGGAAATACTTAAAGTAAGATACGAATTATTATCCTTTCGTTTCATTAATTCTATTAATAAAAATGTGAATTTGCATAAAGATCCGCAGTCTAGTCATGAGATTATTTTACAATACTTGCACAGATTATATAATTTTAATAAAGTAATTAACTGGTACTAGGTGTTAATTTTGTTTTATTTGAGGTCAGTTATAAAAGGTGCAAATATGTCGTTGTAGCGACAGCAGCTAAGGTTCAAAGGGTTAATTTTCGATCGCGTAAACGTAATAGCGAAAAACAGGAAGAGAAACGTAAAACGATGAATAGAAGTTGTCTATTGTTGGACGTCGAGCGAGTCCTCGCACGTCGTAAAGGCCACGGAGGCAAGGAACCATTGGTAAGGGCCGCGAAAGCTCGGATTAAAAGGTGACCACCGAGGCTCCGTGAGCTGGGAGGCTCAAGGATTTCGGATTCGAACATTGTACGCTGACAAATTACTCAGGTAAACAGTCCGCCCAAAAGTATCGGTGAACGTTTGTCCGCAAGGA